ATCCACAGCCTCCTTGGGCAGCCTGTTTCAATGCGTCACCACCCTCTGAGAGGTTCTGCAGTGCTCCAGTTTGGAGGGGTCACGGACCAACCAAAGGCTCCATTTTTCCCACCTGGTGTGGCTGAGTGTTGCTTCTTCAGGGAAACCTTTGATCTGTCATTCACTGTCTAGAAGACAATGCTGACACGGCAATTATAATCAGCAATGTAAGAGAAGTAAGTGTTAGACACTGAAATCAAATTTAATAAGCAATTTCTTAGTGCAGCCTTCATTGTGCGGTCTTTAGCTATGGATGGTAGTGAGACAACAGAAGACTTGGAGAGCAAAGTTCTTATATATTTGATCTATTTTGACCCTGAGGACACCAATTATTCAACTTCATATGTTTAGGTTTTAATAAGTTTTCACCCCCAGGGGAAAAAAAATACAGCAGTTAATGTGAGCGACTTGCCATTAACAGCTGGAATATGGACAGATAGAAAATCAATTGTATTTCATGAATTCAGTTGTCACCAAGTGGTAAGTGTTTTTTCAGCTTGTGCCTTTCACAACAGAAGTGTCTTTAGATCAATCTTGGGCTCTGTATTATCTCTATATAGACAGGCACCTACTGGGTGTTCTTCCTTGTGGGGCTGCTACCTCCTTCCAATTATACCTAATAGGATGCTCTGAGTGCTTTCAAAATTATACACAATCAAAAACATTTATTCTGAGCTGTAAGAGCACAAAACTCAATACTGCAACCATTATGAGTTTGTGACAATGCAAGTGTTGTCCAAAGCCAATTGTATATCCACAGCCTCTTCCAGACAAAGCAGCCCCGCTCAGCTCCAGCAGACCTTTGAGCACAGTATCTCATTACCTGGAGGTACCCGTATGCTAATAATAACACTGCACTCGGGAGCTGTGAATCAAGCTGAGAAATGCTGCATCTTCTGCACATCCTGGGAACCTCACAAACTCTTTTGCAGCCCCCACCACACACTGAAAGAAGCGAGCAGCCCACGTTAGGGATGGTCTAGGAGGCAACCACTTCTCAGAGGGGCTCTGCTTGCAGAATTTCCAGTGGTACTCTGTGGAACAGGGACTGCTCACACAATGCTGACTCAGTGTTTCCAGTTGCTAACAACAAAAATGGTCATACTGAGGCTCTTCCATGTAAGCAATTTTTGTAGCTGACATAGCCATTGCACAGTCACAAACGAGAAGAAAGATGGTTAATAGGAAGGGAGGAGGACTCTATTTCTGTGACAAAAGGAAGGAGAGGCCATGCTAAAACACGGTCTACGCTGCAACGAAACCTGAGATCCATCATTTAGTTAATATTTCAACAGACACAACCTAGCGGAGTAATATTTTTATCTCCAGTACTTCACTTGAAGTAAACAGACTCCACCAAAGGTCGTACTGCTGCATGTCTGTACCTCGGAGGGGTACAGGAGCCACGAGTCAATGCAAAGCACGCTTTTGGGGTAGAAGTGTTGGTTCTCAAACAATATCCTTATGAAAAACTTGTTCTGCCCTTCTATTGCCTGCTGCTACCTGGCCCTACAGAGGTTACAGGGGGCCAGGAGCATCTTAAATCATTCAACGAAATGCCAGAAAACCTGTTTTCCACCGCGTGCCCAGGTCACCCTCAGTGCACAGCGCGATGCATACAGGAGAGCGCGTCATGGCGGTGAGAAGGGTAGGAGGAGGAAGAATGCCTGGGAAAGTTCGCAGCGAGCAGGAATAGGGGAATGAAGGCAGCAGGGCAGCGCACCCGGGAAACACGGGCATGCGAACGGGATTATCGCACCCGCCAGCTGCTCCTCGCCAGCTCCCAGCAACGCTGACCGGGAAGCCAGCTTAAAAGGCGGAAAACAATGACACAAGAGCAGGAGAGACAGCCCGGCCACCTGGGAGCAGGTGGGGAGGGAGGCGACGAGCGCCGGGGACACGGGAGCCCCGCACTGGGCACTCGGGCAAGGTGCGACGTGCGGCGGCACACACGCAGACGGAAGGGCTGCAGCCCCAACGCCGTCCCCAGCCGCGGAGCCCCGCACGCACCGGGGGAGTTTTCCAGCGGCTCCTGCCCGAGCAGCCCCATCCTCTTCCAGGTGGCTGAACGCCGCGCAGCTCGCCGCGTTACGGAGGCGAGCGGCTGCCCGGGGGGATTTCAGGACCGCAGCGTGACCGTGGGGCGAGGAGACCCGAGGAAATCCCGCCTCGGCAACCCCTTACCTTGCGGGCGTTCTCCTCCCGCGCGGAGGGACGGGGCGCGCCGGTGGCCGAGAGCGCGGTGCGGGGCGCGGTGCGGGGCGCGGTGCGGGGCTCTCCCCGCGGGGCCGAGCGCGGGGCTCGGCGCTACCAACAAAGTGCCGGAGCGGCGCGGGCGGGCGCCGGGCAGCGGGAACAGCCGCGGAGCGGAACGGAGCCGAGCTCCCTCTGCCGGCCCGCCCCGCCCCGGCCACAGTCCCTGCCCCAGCCCGCGGCCGGGGCGGGCCGTTGACGAGCTCGGCCGTCGGCCAGCTGCCTTCTCCTGTTGCGGCGTGCGGGTCGCTCGCAGGATGCCGGGGTACTGAAAGCAGCCCCCCGGAGCCGGTCTGGGGTAGGCGGATTGTTTGCAGTCATCCGAAGCGTTCGCCGAAATCTCCACAAAGCCTCATACAAAACCTACCAAGACTCCGAAGCAAGGAAGTCGGTGTATCTACACCGCCTGCGGGGCGAGTCGGCTGCGAGAGCAACACTCCGCCGTCCTCACTCGCGATCCTGGATGAAATCTCCTGGCTGTCGATGCTGTTTCCATTTGGTTGCTCGTGCCCCTAGCCTGACAGCTTACACGTGGCTGTCGCTGTGTGCGTGGAACAACCCCGCACACACACTCCGGGCGTGCTGACAGGGGACTGAAGTGCTGCCCACACCGGTGGCTTCTGTATCGAGTCACTGCTGCTCCTACAAACAGCCCGTTCCCCGAGAATCTCTCTTTTCACTGAGTTCCCATTCAAAGTTTCTGTCTTTTGTGACGCTGCAGAAAAGCTCGAAAAGAAATCCTGTAGCAGCATCGGATTGACAAAAAGAACCCCCCTTCACAAGGTCTCATGAGACCTCATCTGGAATGCTAAATCCAGATGTGCAATCCTCAGAATGGGAGAAACGTTGACCTGTTGGAGCACATCCAGAGGAGGGCCACAAAAATGATCCCAGGAATGGAACACCTCCCTTCTGAGGACAGGCTGAGAGAGGTGGGGCTGTTCAGCATGGAGAAGGGAAGGCTCTGGGGAGACCTGAGAGTGGTCTTTCAGTATCTAAAGGAGAGCTACATGAAAGAAGAGAACAGACACTTAAGCAGAGTCTGTTGTGATAGGACAAGGGTTAAGTGGTTTCAAAGTAAAGGAGGGGAGATTTAAATTGGATACGAGGAAGAAGTATTTTACAGTAAGGGTGTAAGGCACTGGAGCAGGCTGCCCAGAGAGATGGTGGATGCCCCATCCCTGGAGGTACCCAAGGTCAGGCTGGATGTAGCTCTGATCTACCTGTGGGTGTCACTGTTCATTGCAGGACAGTTGGACCAGGTGGCCTTTAAGGATCCCTTCCAACTCAATTATTAACTTAATTCTATGATTCTGATTCTATGACAGGCAAAAAGAACCCCCTTTTGTGTGTGATAGCAAGCTAACTTTTGAGATTGGGTTGCTGGTTCTTGATACAGTAGAATCGGCAATCCTGAAAGACTTACAAACCTGTATGAGATTCCTCACAAAGAAGTAGTTAAGAAGAGCATCAATCTTTGAATGTCTGAAGCATGCAAACACCACAGCAGGACTGAGCGCAGTTAGCCAAACACAGCAATGAGTCTTTTCTGCTGCAAAGTTTCTCTGATTCCAGGCCTTCTCTAAACAACCCGCACCAGAGAAGTAAAAGTAGGGAATGAGCAGCTGTGTTCTGCAGTTCCCACTCAATTCCAGGAAATGGGTCTTGGCAGCTCCATGCTCTTCATACCTCTGTAAGTCACCTGCACAGGCACTGAAGGCAGAACCATCTCTGCTCCTTTTCCTGGTGCAGAGGGTCCAGGAAGCAGGGAAGAGAACAAACTCCTTTGAAATAATGGGGTTGGGTAGGGAGGATGAGATTAAAGCTGCCTTTGTGTACCTAAACAGGCACGAAAGGCACAGATAACATCCGCTTATCTTGCTAACAGGAAGCTTGTTTCCAACAAACGTTAAAACCTGAAGGAATCGGGTTGTGGAACAGTCACCTTGGTTATTTGTGGGGGTGGATGCTTATAGGAGCACTGACATCTATACCAACATTCCCAAACCATCCATACCAATCACCTCTCACAGCCTCTGTAGGTAAGCAGTAGTAGTAATTTACATAGAAATGTGCTTACCCAATGAGATGGAATATGATAGATACTAATAAGAATAGGAATGGGGTCCTTTTCTATCCCTGGCAAGGACAGACAGCACCTCTCTTCTCTCCATTCCACCTGAGACAGCAGCCCAAGACCACTCCTGCTCCCTTTGGCAAAGGGCAGGAGACTGATGCAAAAGGCTACCATTGGCCCACTCTCTTTGCTTCTTTTTGTTTTTGTTTGGGAAGTGAATATTTAACAAGAATATAATTAAAAAAGAAAAAAAAAAAGAAAAAAAAGAAAAAAAAAAAGAAACAGAAACTGGAAAGTCAGGCATGAAGGGAGGAAAGAGAAACTAGAAGAATTACTGGGAGATAGATATAAAGATTTGGGGAATTCTGCTTATGTACCTTCAGAGAACCTGTGCTTTATCACTCCTCTTCTGGGCCATCATTAGGTTGTACTGAAAACAGGCAGCATTTGAATGATGTAGTATGCGCTGCAGCAAGCCCAGGGATCTGTAGTTAAGCTTTTGATGCTGGAATTTCCACTACCATTGAAAACAGACACTGCTATGTCCATAGGTTTGGGGAGATAAGTACACAGAGCAAGCCTCATGCTTTTGTCAGTTCTAAGGCACACATCTACAGGGAGAGATGGCCAAATTGTTCCTGATTTGGGATCCTAAAACGTGAGTTTAATCCACAGTAATGCACAGCATGAGGGAGAAACAAAGGAGAGTGGCATTGGCCTGTGCTCCTCCCCTCTTTGTGCTGCTGAAAAAGGCAGCCTGAAAGAGAAACAAGAAATCTCAAGTCAGGAAGCTGCTTCATTTGCTGCTTAGGTAAAACTACAGAAAACTTTTTTCATTAAGGCTAAGCTTAGTGCCATCAAGAATGCAATGCAGACTGGAGGAGCTGTAGAATAAATGCAGAGAGTCTTCCAGACCCAACATTGTTCACAGTCTGATAGGGACTTTCCTTGGGGTGTGCCTGTTTTTAAAATAATGTGTCCTTTGTGCCGTAACAATATTTTTATGGTTGCAGTAAATCTATAAATAGGAGCAGTAAATCTGTGAATAACGTAACGGCCTCAAATCCATTGAGATAGATTTGGCCTAAGCGTGCTGGGGGGAATCTGTAAACTTCTGCATAAATTAAAAACATAAGTTTTGCTATCCAAAAATTAAATTTGGGCATACACCCTCGTATGTGGGAAAATGGAATCTCAAGTAAAAAGATTAAAATGCGCTCCTCCCTCCTGATGAGCTGCAAAGCATTCAGAACTGGTTAACTTGTTCCTTTGTTGGAGGTCTTGTGCTTTGCTCATTACAACTGCGCTGAGCTGCAGCCAGGTCTGACACCTTGACACCAGAGAAGGCACTGCCATTGGCTTGCAGTCCTGGTGGCACCTGCAGCCCAGGTCAGAGGTTGTGCAGTAAACCCTCCTAGGCATCCTGTTTTCCATTGTGCTTACTGCACAACTTGCATCACTACATACACACTGTCTGTATTGGTTCCTTAATCTAGCTGTCAGGGGATATCAGATTTTTATTCCTTGTTCCTAGTTATAATATATCCTTGAGAGACATTATTTGAGTAAACTGACCAGGATATACAAGCCCACTATTTATTGTCCCATTTGAGTTCAGATCTCCTCAGCTCTATGCTGTCATAATGTATGGCTTGCAAACTTGCCATCCAGTTGTTCCTAATTTCTAATGCATCAACTACAACACTAGTAAATTCATGACTGGGATTAAAGTTGAAAATGTGAGGACAAAAAGCCTGTGTAAAGACAGGGTTTCGGGGTGTTGTGAGTTACCTGGCTCTCATTCTCTGTGGATCATAAGCAGCAAGTAAAGTAATGTGGAGGAGACTTCTTTCATCCTACTGAAGGCATAGGGACTGCTGCCATTTGCTTCAGAAGGAGTAAAGGCAGCACTGAGTCCTTCGTTTGGGTTTGGAAGGCAGAGACTCTGTCCTAAAAGCAACCTAAAGCCATGTGGACCCTTCTTACACATTCATTGAGCTAGATTTTGATCTCTCCCCTCTCAAGAGCTACACTCTGTTTTACAGATGAGGCTATAATTGAATTTAAGCAAATAAACCACAGGTTACAAAGCCAACTTCAACACTGCTATGCATCCTGATGCTAACTGAGGGAGACAAAAGTGAAATACGATGCAGAGCATCAATCTCTTTTATATTTATTCTTTGTAAGGAAGCATGACAGATGTTTTTTTGTTACAATTGTGTGTTTATTTGGAGAGAGGTAGAGCGTGAAACCTCAGATATGTCATTTTCCTCACATCTCATATTCATGAGAAAAGAAAGAAGGCAGGCAGAAGGAAATATATGCAGCTGAAAAATGCTTACTTGATCTATTTTGCCAGAATTTATAGAAGTTTCTGGGTTTTGCTTTTTCATTCCAAGATCTTGGACATACACTTCTGTGGTGGAGGAGGGGGAACAGTGTTTAACTACGCCACTCATTCCAGGCCTTCTGAATTCTTGAGTCAAGTGCCTAAAATCAAGGTACTTCTTCAAGAATCATGAGATGCTGGGAAAAAAAAGGTGCTGATATACTTTTATTTGCCTTTTGGATCTGAAGATTTCCTATTTCCCATCAGAACTACGTCTACACATAGTTCTTGGAGTCACAGGTCTACAGCCAATTAAGCTTTTGAGAAATATATCAAATACAACTGCAACAAAACTAAAACCACTAGATTAGCCAGAATTTCTTTGTATTATTATTGTTCATTAAATGTTCCTGTTCTTGAACTGAATTTTAACTTTGAAAATAGCACTGAATTTTAACTTTGAAAATCGTAAGGACAGAATGGCCCAGTTCGGCTGTCTAGTTTGCTTAGAGAATGGGTAAGGCATCTGAAATTCTGCATTTGCCTAAGTGTGAAAAAAATCCCCATCATTTCAACACATAATTGCTTACTTCTGGTTGCATAATTATTTCACTAGCTGAGGAAAGCAAATAATAATGCTGACAGTAATTTTTGTTCATATTGTTCATAGAATCTCAGAATGGCTTGGATTGGAAGATACTTTAAATATCATCTAGTTCCAACACCCTGCCATGGGCAGGGCTGCCACCCTGCTCAGCCTGCCCAGGGCCCCATGCAACCTGGCCTTGCTTGCCTCCAGGGATGGGGCATCCACAGCTTCTCTGGGCAGCTGTGTCAGGGCCTCACCACCCTCTGAGTAAAGAATTTCCTCCTGACATCTATTCTAACTCTCCCCTCTGGTCATCTCATGGCCCTCCCCTGGGTGCACTCCAAGAGCTCTACATCCTTCTTGTACTGGGCTCTCCAGGTCTGGATGCAGTACTCCAGATGGTGCCTCACAGTACAGGGGAACCATCACCTCCCTCAGCCTGCTGGCCACAGTTCTTTCCACAGATCTTGAATTCATTTACCTACACTAGTGATTCTGGAGAGACAAGCTTTATTGCAAAGGAGTTGCCAAAGCTTAGCTAGTAATTAAAAATGTCACAGTTATATCCTGAAACCTGGATGAGTTTGTTTTTATTCAATCCTGAAAGAATAGAGTTTACAAGATTTGCCAAGTGATCCTGCGAGCTCAG